TTGTAAAACACCGGACCGCAGGTGTCTGCGGTGAGGAACGAACGCGCTATTGCCCTTTCCGGGGAGTAACGCGTTCACAACCACACCAGTTTAACTGGGTTCGTTGCCGATTTGGTCTCCCCAGATCAATACTGCTGACAGGTAATTGCTGATGGTAAAAAATCAATAGAACTAGCTGAGAGACAAGAGGAACGAAGGACCCGCATGGTGTGGTGGTGAACGCGTCACTTCCCGGAAAGGACAATAACGCGTTCGTTCCCCACCGCAGAACCTGCCCTCCGGAGTTTTGCAAATATCTCAGCATTATTAAAGTTATATTTCGCAATATATACCCTGCCGTTAAAATGGGTAGGCAGTAAATAATAAGTTAAAGCTTCTTGTTCTTTTCTTTTTTATTTTTTACCAGTAGCTCGAGAATGTCTTGTATTGTGAAGTCGTTCGAGATAATGGTATACTATTGTGAAGTGACATCGAATAACTCCATTACTTGGTGCTGTTTGGCTGCGCGCCCCTTAGGTGAACCAGGAATATTTTGGTATTAGGTAAATGGATTGTTATAAATGTTAACAATTTGGTAAGGATTAGGTTTAGAAACCACGTTATCCTATCCGTTGACCCGCCCGTACTGCTGGTTTTAGGCCTAAACCTACGCGATAATGGGTCATTGGACGTGAGATCATCAAGAGGAGTAAGCGTGTGTGCCTTAATAAGAGGACAGGACAAGTTTAATGGCCGTTCTTTAGCTGAGGAATGACTGAAGGCTGTAAACCCGCTGCCTTTGCCATGTTGACCCACTCCCATTCTATACTAATGTTTCGAATGACTCTGCAATGAAGGCTAACCTCGGATTAGATTATCAACAAGTGAAGCTACGTCGATTATTTATATCGATGTTAAACGAAAGCTGGTTTGCGTCGAGGTTCTGTGTTGAACTGGAGCAGAGAGATCGCTGCACACCTTCACCGAACCCACTATCTCCCGCCAGAAAATGGACCTATAGGACACACACTTCTTTAGTTATCATGTACCAAGCTTAGGTTTTTATGGGCTGATGCTGGCATAGCATCTTGATTGAAAACCATCGAATGAATACAAAGGACATGGAAGAAAAACTTTATGCTGCAAAATAAAGCAAGGAAAAGAACATGCACTGAGATCAATAGGGTTTCCCCACTCAGTCGCCTACGCATGCATTGTAATGAATTCATCTGCAACGTTATGTGTTAACAAATTAAGGGCAACTTAGCTGCCTCTTTCGTCAATGCTTATCATTTGTTAACCCAACACGAGCTTAACCCCCTGTTAGCTTAACAATCCAAATAAAATGTTTATTTGCACTTTTATCTTTCCACATTTTCCTATCCGGGACATCTGTGCTTTTCTTCTAGTTTTAATCTTTTGCCTTTCGTAACCTTATTGCTTGTGAAACCATCAAGACTGCAAATTTTTCAGTGGTAAAAAAAGATGAAAGATGATTGATGGCTTCATACACTATCAGTCAACAGATCCGTCTAGTATCCACATTTATAAGCGATTTTCATTTTCATTAAGAGATTTCAACGAGCAACGCTAAGATTTCCGGTGAAGCATGGGTTGTCTGATCGTCCTGTGCCTCCTAGTCACTCTCATTCTGGTGCATAACACTCAGTCCACTTCTCCGAAGACTCATATTCTGGCGTTGTGGAATTTGGGCGAAATGGCAGAATGTGTACTGCACTACTTTCCGCTGGTACGTTAGCTATTCACTTAGAACTAGTGGAATGCAATATTTTAAGTGCATTTCTAGTGCGAAGTGCGATGGAGTTGACTTCCCGTCCTCACTAGTTGCGCGGGCCCCAGCATAAAAAAGGATGAAGCTCTCGACGTTTACCAATCCCTGAGAGATGCACCATGCATTCGACTTTATTAAGTATTCTTTGAGGTGATTGAATGCATATTTGGCCTTTACAATGACTCGTGGTGGCCTATCGATGTATTGAGCCAGTGCTGCTATCCTCCCAGAAGAGTCTGGTACCAATTTGCCGACCCCGGGGGGATGGAAGGCTTGGTGAGCCATGGGCACGGGAGCCCCAACATAATCACCATTTTTGGGAGATTTGCTGGTTAAGCCATTGTGGTTCCCTGGAATCCCAACCTGACCAAAGTCTGCTCCAGTCCTTTTTACTCCTATACAGCACATTGTGTCAAAGATTGTTTTTAACTTTTCTGTAATCACGGTGGGTCAGACGTAAAAGCTCAGGTTTGCGCGTACGCTTAGGCGCAAGTCTATGCTTTAAGCTTAGGCTTAGGCTTAGGTTTAGGCTGTTCTGCAGCTTAATATTTTTTGATATTATCACTATTGCTGTATTCCTTGTAGGTTTACAATAATTACGGCTGCTGGTGCGGGTTTGGAGGAGCGCACACGCCGGTCGATGGAATTGACGAGTTCGTAACTTTAGTGTTCTACGCATATTCACCGAAAGTTTATCACTTTGGTTTTCGACACCTTTTTGCCAAAAAAGCAAAAGCTTAACAATTGATGACCAACTATGCAAAGCAGTTTCTGGTAAACTATCATGCCAGTTTCTTGCAAACGTTCTACTAGACAGAGATTCGTTGCCTTTCCTTTCGAGTTGAATAAGCATTGGCAAATTCCACTGTTCTTCGAAGAATACGTAGAAGTGATTCCCTAAAAAAATTGATGGTGCACGTGCTTGACACGTGATGGTGCTTGACAATTATTTTTTGACAATAATACATGTTGATTTATTGAGCATGTTTGCACTTTCCAATAACAGAAAAATGATTTTCTTCCAGAGGTCGGCAAGGGCGCGTGCGGCGCAGTGATCGGATGCGCCTTGCCACACACGCGTGGAATCGATCCTTGCACCCATGCCCCACCAGGCTTTCCATCCCTCCGGGGTCGGCAACTTTGATACCAGACTTGTCTGGGAAGATAGCAGCACTGGCTCGATACATCGGTAGGCCACCGCGAGTCATTGTAAAGGCCAGATATGCATTCAATCACCTCCAAACGATGCTCAATGAAGTGGAATGCATGGCGTATCCCTCTGGGATTGATCAACGCTGAGAGCTTTATTCTTCATTTTTCCTATCAAGGGAGCAAACATTGCATTTGAAATGTTTTGCTCATAAATTGAAAAATTCGGCTCAGTGATTAAAAATATGTACATTTCTAGTTGCTGTATGCATCACGATCATTGCTACGACGTGGCGATTAAAAGCGAAGCCTGTTACGATACTCCCTGGGAGTACATAGACAACTACAGTTGGAAATGCGACAACAGCAGCCCATCATGCAGCGGTGAGTGCGGAAATCTCGTGGCTCTCAGCCCAAAGCTTTCTGCCAACAATATCGAGATTTCGCCACTTTGTGCCTCGAGAGAAATTCTTCCGGACACACGATGCATTAGCTCGATTTTCACTATCTAGTTAACTTTCAAGTGTGTATAGTAGCCCACCCTATCGAATAGTCGGAAAGATCTTGAGATTATTGATTTAAAAAGCAAAACTTTAGATCCACTTTCAATATGAAGAGCCAACAATCAGGATATTTTTGCTTACATTACGGTCTAATCAATTCGATCACCGTATATGTATAAATTAATGCTGTTACAAGAATCATGGCCTTTCAAATATCTATCCTTGTACGGGACATAAAAATATGGTCACGCCTCCCCAATTTATGGATTTTTTGGAACTGAGTTGCCCTGTCACAACTAAGAATTTCAGCGCATAACCACGCTTGCCAGTCTGCTCTCTGTGCTTGTGATGTGGCAGTGACCGAGTGCTGGTCAAAGTATCCGAAACCACGAAAGAAGATGAAGTGCACCCACGAAAGAGAGACGTCAACTAGCACTCTTAAGTGCTTTCTACTTTAACGCTTACGTATTGCGTTTATTGCGTTTTCCTCTTTTTAATATGCTTGTGACGTTTTGCATGTTGTTTTTGAAGGTGTTCATTTAATTCACCGCAGTGTCTCGTGCAGATGAGAAATGTGTCTGTTAAAAGTGATTGCTACTGTATTATTTTGCACATTCTTCCACGTTTGGCTATGTTTGATTGTTACTTGCAACTGCATGTGAAGAAATGTTTTCCCAGCCACTGAGTTTTCACAGCGACCTCGTAGATCGACATAATGACAAAGAATGTAGAATGAGAACATGCCTGCTCTAGAGGAAACTATTCAGAAACTATTAACGTCAAGCATTGTTCTGATTGTTTTAATGGTCAGTATTCACGAGTGGTGAGGATCCCTTCTCATTTTCCACCCGTTTCGTCCTTTCGAGGCCGTCATATAAGGTGATAGGTTTCCCACTATGATAACCTCTATAAGCTTGTTTAATCGGTTCATAAATTGTTAGTAGCCGAAGATATAGATAGACAGAGATAGAGCTCTGCAGCCCATCTTGTTCTTGATCACCCCAGAGAGTACGTGGTGGTCCATGTTCCTATTGCATTCGCACGCAATTCCACTGTTCTTATCCTTCATTTTTCACCGAAAAGAAAGCTAAGCACTTCAATCATTCAAAGATGAAGCGGAATCCAACGCAGTATAAATGACTTCCATGACTCAGCCAAAGTTTTATGTTCGTAAAAACGGCTGTCTAATTAATATCCTTGAAACCGACTTTTCATTAAACCTCAATAACAGTATTCAGTAACTTTCTACAGTATTCAATAACTTTCCGCACGATTGACCTGTCACGAGGTTGGTGTAAAAACTATTCAGCGAGCGTTTCAACATCATCGTCTTCCTTAGAGCCGCGTTTATCCGAGTCGATGGTCCACAGCTAGTTGTTGTAGCGATGCCGATGTTCCTTGTCGCATTCAGCCGAATCCAGTAAAAGCAGCACCTCTCGATTGGGCAACTTAACCCAAGAATGCCTTTTTATACAGGACGGATGTTCATCAATTGCGCCTTCACTGGATTCGAGAATGGCCACCTCGTGTTGGAATCCAAGTGCGAATACTATGCACCGTGAAACGTATAAGACCAGATGCTCGCTCAATTGATGAAGTGCGACGAAGAAACACCACCGTGTACAGTATTTGGAGGAGCGTCTTTGGAGCAGAATAAGGAAGGTTCAATGTTGATTTGCAGCTATATGGTTCTAGGCTTAATGGTAAAGTAAGTTTATGAAGAAAATCCGAAAGTGTTTTGAGTAAGCCGCATAGAACGGCTTCAGGAAGGTTAAGGAAACACCGTTAACGAAGATTAAACGAGCAGGGCGAGCAATGTACAAGAAAAGTCAAGGCTTACTGTATCAGCTGGCGTGGTTCTCGGTTACGGGGTACGCTCGCTATTAGAATTAGGCTCAGGTTTCATAGCATTTAAACTCATTTCTAAGCTGTCATTTGGAAGGGTCGCATCTTGCTCGCATTAACTTCAATATAGACTCCATAGCGAAGATAAATTGAAGCGTTAAATAAGAATGAACAACGATAATTAGTGGCATTACGATGTCACCGTTTCCTTAACCGTTCTTTAGGCAACAAGATCTCAACAATGAAATTGATATCAAATTCCGAATATTTGGAAAAAAACCTTCAAAATCCTCAATTACTACCGCACGAAGAAGCTTCGCTCCAACCTGATAGAAACACAAACATGTGAGAGGTTCGAGAGTCAGCAGGATTAAAAAACATTAGATACCCGTTATTGATAAGAGTAGGTAGTTTTTAGTAATTCCTTGCCATCTAGATACTGAAATAACGGAAAATCAACGCCCACCATCTAGAATGGAACTCGCAAGTCAATAATTTACTGCATTCATGACGAGCAAACGGTGTTAGTTTATTCTTAATTTACAAAAAAGATAACCTTAACCCTTTTATTTACTGCCTTTTTCTTCTTAATGGCAGGGTATGTTACGAAATTTAACTCGTATGAAATACTGAGATATTTGCAAAACTCCGGACCGCAGGTGTATGCGGTGAAGAACGAACGCGCGCTATTGTCCTTTCCTGGAAGCAGCGCACTTCACCACCACACCATCCGCGTCCTTCCCTTTCACAGGTGATTGCTGATGGCAAAAGATCAATAGAACTAGCTGAGAGACAGGCAAGGCGGAGGACGCGGACGGTGTGGTGGTGAAGTGCGCTACTTCCCGGAAAGACAATAGCGCGCGTTCGTTCTCCACCGCATACACCTGCGGTCCGGAGTTTTGCAAATATCTCAGCATTATATTCGAGTTATTGGATACTTGGACGGCACGTTCTTACTGGTTGTGCGGACCCCAGCGGGGAACGAACACGCTCTGTTGTCCTTACCGGGGAGCAGCGCACTTCACCACCACACCATCCGGGTCCTTCGTCTTGCCTGATGGCAAAAAGATCGATAGAACTAGTTGAGAGACAGGCAAGACGAAGGCGAAACTGAGAAAAGGCGAAACCAAAATTTCAATCGTATTCAGAACAGAACAGCTTTCTCGCACACTCACCGTTTTCTATGAGTTCCCACTGAAAATTTCACGTGGTTTACATGGAACGCGTAATGTGCCTTTTTTGTGTTAAAGTATCCGTTTTAAATTCTGTTTGAGATCAAAGGTCATAACTTCCTGAGGTTCATTTTGGATTCTTGGAGTTTATCCACCACGGTTCGAGGAGCTGGTGTTTTTGATTTCTTTTCGAGGATATTAACTTTTATTCCAAAACCTTCCCATAACGCCCCTATGTCCTACGCGCCCCTAGTGAAGTATTTGGTTTGCCTTGAAGTTTACTGACTAGGTGTTCTTTTATACGCAGGCAGAGTGATCTATCCGTTTCAACAAAGTATTCGTTCCCGAACGCTTTACAAGAGATTGCACAAACCATATCAGAACTCACGCAATCACCATCTCTATCGCTAGAGCATATTATGCATTTCTGCGTTGTACATAGCCAGTCAAAGACGCGACTTCGAAGTAACTGGCGACATAGGGTGCTTGGAGGTACTTCAGTCACGTCTACTGAATGGTGCCCACCTGCTCTTTTCAAGACCAACAGTGTTAAACACCGAAAACTGAACAATGATTTGGTCGAAGTGGCGAATACTGTAAGCTTAAAATTACCAGTTATTTCGCAAGTCAATATCGAATTACTTTCCGTCTTATAGTTACGTCTTGAAATCCACAAGTTACTATCCACTAATGGCTTTGCCTCTAGCAACCTCCCAACGTTCAAGGTTAGACTTATCATCGGCTGTCTCGATGAGGCAACGGATAGAATAGCTTGTCTCGTAAACCTCACACTCATCTGGTTGCTGAAATGTATTTCAGCCCATCTTACAAACACCGAAATGTTTCTGGATCACTTATGGAACAAGCATCATAACAGCGTGTACGTGATGAGGTCTCTCGACGCTACCATCTGTTATACAAAGACTTTGTAAGCCATCGCCGAACTCCTTATGCAGTAAGAAGGAGCAATAAATATATATGGCTTTTCAATTCAGCGACTCGTAAACTTTTTAGAAGAGTGCCAAATCTGGTTAGTCTTCTAGTGGTCCGAGAAGTATATCGCGCAAAAGGTTGCCAATGTGAGAACGACAGACATTAAGCTCTGCCATTGCATTTATGTTTAAGGTGGAAGCACCAGTAATTGATCTTCGGTCCCTTACCACACATAAGACTACAGTATATTTAAATACTGATATTTTAATGTGTGATAGGCACAATACCCAAATCCGTGAACTGTGTGCGGCTGGTCGCCACGTGAAATACTGTGTAGGATTCATAGAAAGCCGAGTGTGTGAGAAGAAGCTACTTTGTTCTCAATGCGAATGAAATCTTAGTTTAATGTTTTTTTGCTTTAGTTATAGAGGTATTTGGCTGGGTAGATTGTAGTCAACTTGACCTTTCCAGGCTCTGAATAAGGGGAAGTCCGCCGAAACGTCATCTTTATCATCAACAAAGAATGAAGTAACAAACTCGTCTTTGCTCATCAAGAAAACAAAAAACTTATGATCTTCTTGCTTTCCTTTTTATTTCAACCTATTTGTAAAATTTTTAATCTTATCACTACCTATCTTTGATTTTCTCTGGAATTCCGAGACAACCGCTTCAGTGCACTCCGGTCTTCAGCCCAGGCAGTACCAGGTTATTTTGGATTGGTGGGATTTTGCTAATTTGCGGTTGAAATTAAGCAGGTGGCTTTTCTTTTTCGTAAACGTCACTAAAATCTTACCTTTAAACTTTCCGCGACCATTTAGTGTCAACGCAGAACAAAGTTAATTTTCATTCCAATACAACAGCTTTTTCACACGCTAGCAACTCTATATGCTCCAATTTTGCCTAGACCATTTTCCCATCTTTAAAGGCCCAGCCTAGATGGCGGCCATTTCGCGAAATGTGTGCTCAAAACACCATAAAATAATTGAGTTGTTAAAAAAAGGACAAAGCTCTCGGCGTTGATCAATCCCTGAGGGATGCGCCATGCATTTGACTTCATTAAATATCATTTGGAGACTGAATGGATATCTGGCCTTTACAATGAGTCACGGTGGCCTAGCGATGTATTGAGCGAGTGCTTATCTTCCCAGACAAGTCTGGTACCAATCTGCAGAGTCCGGAGTGATGGAAGACTTGGTGAGCCAAGAGCGCAAAGATCGATTCCACATGTGTGTTGCAGGGCGCCTCCAGCCACTGCCCCACATGCGCCCTTTTAGAGCTATTGCTCTCCAAAAATTAAGGATCGGATTAAAAATATGACTTCAATAATGCTGAGACATTAAAAAGAGTAGGCAGTAAATAAAACAGTTAAGATTGTGATTACAACTAAGGCCTTAGCTTAAGCTGAGCTCATTGCCGATTTGGGCTCCCGAGATCAATCTCGATGACGGGTGATTGCTGATGGCAGAGATCGATAGAACTAGCTGAGATTCAGGCGAAGTGAAGGACTCCTATGGTGTGGTGGTGAACGCGTTACTCCCCGGAAAGGACAATAGCGCGTTCGTTCCCCAGTGCGGACACCTGCGATCCGGACTTTTGCAAATATCTCAGCATCATTGAAGTTATATTTCGCACTATACCCTGCCATTAAAAAGAGTAGACAGTAAATAAAACGGCTAAGTTTGGATTAGATTTTTTACCATGTGATTATCTAAATCTGGAACAATACTAGAGTCGACTATCCAACAAGATTACTAATTTATAGGTCTCCGCTAGGAAGGTATAGCGTAGTGGTTAAAGGTGCCATGTAATACACAAGAGATCTATTCCATCCACATCCCAGGCTGACTAAACCCCCACTCTCCCGAGGTCGGAAGTTGCTGTATAAGCCAGATATGCAGGTAATGTCTCTAATGATGCTTAGCGAAGTCGAATGCATGGCGCAGCGTGCAGGGATCGTTCAACACCGAATGCTCCATGCTTTCTTTTACAGGTGCATTGGTCTTTCCTAGTAATTTAACACTTCTGCTTACGTAGTAGTAATTATTTATCAGTAATTTATAGCATTATTAGATATGCGAAGAGTTCACTTTTAAAATGATTCCTTAAGTTTAAAACTTCGACCTTTTTATCGGAAACCCAGTTAGATCTACATCACAGCAGAGAATGACGAACCATTAGTGGCAATCTTGTCTGCACTAGTAAACTGAAATAGAAGAGCGTCCATGAAGCTGTTCAATTTCCGTGAGCAAAGCGAACACACTAGAAAACTTTGACTTACAACAAGTAGCGACGGAGATTTTACTGATGCCTTCCCGAGTTTCTTTATGATAACATACACTAGGGCAAAAGTGAAGCGATTCGTCAGAATGAGGTCTACGTCAGTTTATTGAGTTTTCAACATTGGCCGCTTTCATATTATCCATGCATACAGCGACATATTTTTGAATTTCAATATTTTTCTTCAATAAGCAGACACGAGGTTGTTGATATAGAATTTATTAGAACACAATTGCTGACGTTTCGGCGGTTTCGCCTTCTTCAGAGCCTGGAAGGTCAAATTGAGATGTGATCTACTCAGCCAAACACTTTCATAACCCTAGCAGAT